CCCATGCTTATGGTGCTGCAAGAATTCCTGAATGAGTGAGATGTGTTTTGTGTAGTATAATGTGTGTGCATGTCTTTGTATTGTATATGCAGTGCCATGATATTGTATGTGGTGCCAAAGGGAAGAATGGAAAATTTCCACCTTTTTTGTGATATAACATCATGGTGGTTATTTGTCAAGTTTTTGTATCCAGTAATATTCTCGTATAGTGCAAATGATCGCACAGCAAACTAAGCAAAGACTTATTGTAGTGGTGTCTATTTGAAATGATAACATAAATTTCTAGCCTCTTAATGACATCTAATAACATTCTGTGATTATTACCTTGAACAAAAACATGATAATGATAGTATACAAGGGATACGAATTCATCTAAAAGGAAAAAAAAAGAAATTGAATTTACTTTCAGTGAGCTTGCCAATTACATATGATCTGATTTCTATACATGCACTAAAAGCAAGGAAAATACATATAGATATTGTATATGGCTTAGGACGTATTGGTAAAACAAAACGTCTGCCAAATACACCATCACAAAGCAAGAGAAAATAAAATCTGCAAGACATAACAATATCCCGGGATGCATTTAAGCTGATAAGAAACTGACCTACTGTTGGAACAAAAGAAAGTATTGTATTTGGGATATTTAAACATTTACATCATACTGAGCTCCCCGGGGAGGGGTGACTCAATATTGAAACCTTACACCATGTGCGTTTTTGCTAAAAAATAATAGGCCCCTGGGCTGGCAGCACATTGGCAAACCATACCCCCTATTGCGGACGCAATGTAAATTTAGTACCCCCTAAAGCATACATATTGAAGAAAAAAACACCCCCTATTTCAGACATATATTGAGAATATCCCCTATTGCGAGGATTCTCTGCCGTTTTTTTTTTACACTCAATTGGAGTGTGATCAACTCAAATAAGTTACTGTGTATGCAACTCCTGTTGGTGTCATTTGTTGTTTGATGAAGTAAGATGAGAACTATTGACAATATTGACGCAATTTTATGTTCAGCTCCGAGTGACTTTGGCATGAATACAGGGCAGAAACCCCAGAAAAAAACAGGAGCTGAATGCGAATGAGGCAGGGGCGCGAATAGAGTTTCGGAAGTATGGATGGCTGGAGAATGACTTTCTGTGTGCGGTTTATTGTAATCGACGAAATGAAACGAAACGGGATAACACACATAATGAAAATTAAACTGTAATCAGTGAAAATGGGTTTTATACGCACAATATTTACATAATATTTGCCTAAAATAATAATATTTAATACGCATATGGCTCTTTTCTCTAATTACATATAATCAAAAATCTGTATTCAGCGAAACAAGGGTCTAACACGTACAATATTCACAATTGTCGGACGAAACTTACCAGTATATTTCCCTTTCAGTAGTGTATATAACTAGATAATAGATTTGCCGAAAATAACGGGATTTTAATTAGAGAGTGGTTCTTTTCGCTAATTATAGATATATAGAAGAGATTATGTAAATTAGATTTATTTCCTGTCTTTACTTTAAGTGCAAAAGGGGCCTATTTGCTTCACGTGGGAAGCAAATAGGAAGTGAAAAACACCCCGCTTTCCCACTAAATTTGGAACGCACATGGGGTAGTAACAGCATATAGAGTGACCCCCGGGACTGAGCTATAAGCTTCTTGGTAAAATACAACACTGGCCAATCCCGAGGAGCAAGCACAGCATGTGACTCCATGTAGGATTTCAGTTGTGGTATTTGGCAAAGAGTACACCACAATTTATAAAGATCTTCTTTGATTGCATCTATCAGTACAGTTGTATCAAGACTGTTTAATTCTTCTGTATCCACATCTGTGTATGATCTATAGAAAATAATGGATAGTATGTGAAAATTATTACAATTTGTTTTATTTTATTTGTAAATGTTCTCTATATTAAATATCAGAACATGATGTATATCCTGTAGTGTGGTTTGAAGACTGAAATCTAGAAAGCTACACTCACTTTAGATTTAGGTAAGTAATCTTAAATTGCATATTAGAAGAAATTAATTGACAAATAAATTATGTTTTTAGGCATTGATTTGCTTGCTTTGTATCTATAAACATTCTCTCGGAAGCGTGGACAGAAAAACTGAGCGAGTAAATTGTTATGAATTATTAAAATTCTCTCCTCATATTATTTTACCACCTCTAACAAGGATTTGCTGCTCGTCTTTCTATATGTATACCTGTCTGAAATATACATTGTGAAATCAAATGTTAGGTATATATAGGCCTAGTCCACCTCTACACAGTGAAATTGTACACTATGAGGTTCTTATTATAAGGATACAACAAAATTTGCACAATTACAGTACAACAGAAGTATTACATGGTAATTGCTGATTTGCAAGTTTGTAGGATGTAGATACCATGGTTGATATAGCGAAATTATGTCAACCTGCTACTTATTGTATTGTACTTATTGTCTGACAGATGTATAACATACCTGTGTATTGTTGTAGGACCATCAGATGGAAGATGGAGTGATAGAATATATCCAGGAGGATAGTTGCTATGTGCACAGCCTGACGTGTTTCCAGCTGATTCGTCCCTGATGTTAACGACTTTAAACCATGAATAATATGAAAGTCATCAATAAGTATTATGGTCTATTTTTTGAAATAATAACAAAATTAAAACTGGCGCATCATAATAGTTGTATATAAAATCTTGCAGTTAGTAAATATCAAATTACTATTACCAACATCAATATATTGACAGTATTCTCATTGTATAATATGATTTACGATGCTCAATAAAATGGATATAATGAAATGCATTTGCTGAGTAGTGTTATTTCTTATTTCTATATGTTATATTTATAAGTTTCGTATACCATTATTCTCCCTGAAACCCAAATTAAATTAGAGCGCCCTCATTTTTGTTAGCATGAAAACTAATCACAGGCTGTCTTTATACAATTGGCATTCCAGACTCCATGGATGTTTTGATCAAAATTGATGAAACCACTTAGGGATATGAAAGTATCCATAGAATTAATTACTACATACTTAAAACTGCCAAAAGATGCTAGCATAGCATCATGAACAAAACACCATTCAATTATACATACTGGTTTTAATATCATCAAATTGACATCAGTTACAAACTCATCAATTTAATGCATCCTTTATTAGTGGTTAAACTGTACTTATTCTAGTCTCAGAAACGTTTCTCGAATAATATTCAAAACAAACAACAAAATTTTCTATTACAAAAATATAAACCTGATAGACAAATTAGAGGACATTTTGAGACAGTTGCTTTTTAAAAATGTTCAGCATCAAAAGCTCACTGATTATTTCAAGTGCATAAGTTTTAAACTCTTGTATAATAATACAATGTATAGTTAAATAAATAAATAAGTCTAATGCTGAGCTTGTTTGCTTTTTTTTTGTTATGTTTTACACTTATCTAAATGATTTAGCCTTATATATTCCACTTAGTATATCTCTTGGTTGCATATCTACAGGTAACTGAACCCTTTGAGCACCATATTTTTCCTCTGCCAACATTTTGCTTATTTTCATGTATTTGTGGACTGAACATACATAATTTCCTACTGGTTTCAGGTTTCGATCAACATTCTGGCAATACATGGCAAACATTATGCTACATTTATTTTGAAAAAAAGTGACAAAACTTGACTTAGTGTTCAGAGGTTAAGATGCAATTGTAGCAGTTTATCTGTTAGAGATGTGCTTCTAATTTTAAGAGATATTGTTTTTTCTTATTCTGTCTTATTATCTATCCATAAAACAAAACTCTGGTCATATTATGGATATTTTTATTTAATTTATTTTTATTTTCCAAAACAAACAAAACACAATTTACATTGTTTTCCAGTTTGTTTTCAAGTTCAAATAAAGTTTGTTTATATATATATATATATATATATATATATATATATATATTAAGAAAATCTGAATAATACCGAAAAATCTGTATTAGAAGCCACATTCCTACTAGAAGTCGCACCCATTCTTTTTGAATATCTGAGAACCAAAAATTCATAATTCTCATGTGTAGATGTTCTAATAAAAGCCGCATCCCCTCTGTTGCATTGTACCATGTTATTAGAAGCCACGGTTTCTAATACAGATTTTACAGTAGTCTGTTGTATCTTTGTATTTCTGTGAGCTCACAATAGGCTATTGTACTTTATATCTACATATCCAACCCTTCTAATGATATTCAATTTTAGTTATCCATGCATGCTTTGCCCACACTCGTATAGACCATTTTCCGTACACTGCGAGAATCACGCGTTATGCGTGAAATCGAACGTAAAAACAGGACAAACAAAGGTCATAGCGTCGTAGTGGCGTCAAACATCGCGTGGGATTCGACAAACGCGAAAGTATTTTGGGAACATTTCCATGCTTAATAATGTGCTGTCCACATTTGATAATAGGCAATTTCGATTAAGTACGGTAAGGGTATTCGGAAGCAATATTCTTCTGTCGAAAATCGGCCGGTCGGTGTGAGCTACGAAATAAGGAAATTCGAGTTCAAAATCAAATCGTTCGATTTTTGCGGCAGACGTTCGACGCGCGTCTTTCATGCATCTCGCGAGATCTCGCAATTGTACGGAAAATCACCTCTCCCTACTTCACCATATGGTGATTTTTAAGTGTTACCAAAATACATTGGCGGATTATCTAGCATACTGCATCTGAATTAAGGTACTCAACATCAAATGTCCTTTCATTCAATTTTTTTTGTTTAATGAAATATTGTATGTAACTTACAAAAAAAAATCACGAAAAATTCAGAATATCATTACATTAGTAACTGACAGTTGATCCTTATAAAAGACATGTGGGAAAACGAGTCATAAATGAATGGTACGGACTACCCTTGAAATTTAAAAAGTGCAAACCCTATATTAGTTTCGTTCAGTTATTAATTCTAGGCCACAGTTTATTGCAATTTTAACACACACAATACAAAATTACCCCCCCCCCCCCCAAGACAATTGAAATTGAACATTTTTTTGAGCTGTTACGATTCTTTACACCCCTGCACAATCAAAATCAGTTGACCTTTGCGCAATATACCTTTTCAATACTGGGTTATAGACTACTTGTCAGTTGAAGTCGTGTTCCAAATGTCTGAAAGTATGTACGTGTTCTTCATTGTAAAAATAATCAACCTAAGCAAAGGTTGATTGAAACAACATACAAACAATGAAAGAACTCACAATGGATACCTTGCTTTATTCAAATCAATAGAATATATTACATTGTGAAGGAAAGAAGAATGAGCAGACTCTGTAAGTTTACAGTGAAAATAATACTACTAGAGGAAAGAAAAAAAAAACAATACTGCCGGGTAGGAAAAATGTACCCAAGAGGTTGGTGATTTTGCTGGACTCAAAGAGTAAAAAGAAGTTCTTAGAGGAACACAACTTCAAAACATGAGATTATATCGAAAAGTTGTGTGCTGTACATGTTGCAGTAGAATAAAAATAAATGGATAAAAATATTTTGACCACAGGAACTCATAATATTTGGTAGTACCCAGGATCACCAATAACACAAAAACACTTTAGTATGCAGTTTTTTTCTTAAAAGCAGCTCTGCTGATGAGAAATTAAATATCATGATTGTTCACAGTTGGTCTTGTTTGACGTCTTCTCGCAAGTAAGGTCTTTGTCTTTTTGATAAAAAATACATACTTGTAAAATTTACATCATCTTCACTTCTTTTTAGGTTGTGGTCTGAAAATAGAAATAGTACTCGGTAATCACAAAATGATCGACAACGAAAAAATATGCATGCAAATCACATCTGTTATTTATCTATTTATTTGTCTGGAAACATTGCCCTGATTTTGTCTCCATCATCAGGTGACGTTGACGTTGATTGGTTGATCAATATAGCTCACTGCTAATCTGCATAATGTTTACGTGTCCAAACAAATGATAAGCTTTCCTCACATGCCGTATTCACTGATATTTGCTACAGCGCCGAAAATGTAGCCTCTCATGGCTTTGAGACATCGGAATAAATCACCATAGTTAATAAGCAAAATCGAGGCAACATTTCTAGACTGATATAAGGAGGGTTAAATTATCCCTAAAATAATAAGCTAGGTCATCGAATGTTTTAGAAAAAAAAACACAATATAAAATGCCTGCATTGATTAGAAACTTCATAAACAGTACACAGTAATGCCTTAAGTATGCACTAAAAATGAGACACTAACAGTTTTCACCATACCCATTGGATATTGGAAAAAGTTCCTTTGAATCCCTAACACTTACCCCACTACTACCCTCATTTAATTTTATACGTCCCTCCTAAGGACACCTAGTTATCTAGAGAGGACATTTACAATTGAATTGGGCTTGGGGTGAGGATTAGAATTGGAATTAGAGGTAGGGGTGCTGAAGGAACTCCTTTTTTTTTTCATTACTACTTTTTGGCATGTGAGCAATCATTCAAACACTCCTCTTACTGTAAAATACTTTATTTTAGCTGGAATTAATTTTCACTGATTTTTGATAAGTTGAATGTAAAATATATGAAAAGAGATATATTCACTGGATTTTATTTTCACTGAACCATTCGGTTAGCGAAAATAAAGTATTCTACAGTATTTCTGTAAACACCAGTATTCACATGAAAAATGTAAGCCATTATCAGATCAGCTATATGTAATTGCATATAACTTCTAATACCACTTAATGCCATGTGCCTGTAGTTCTACCGTACCTCCCGAGCATAAGCCCCTCCCCAAGTATAAGCCCCTCCCCAAGTATAAGCCCCTCCCCGAGTATAAGCCCACCCTCTGTTTTTAGACATTTAACGAGTTGAGGGCATATCAATTTGTTTTTACCGGGTGTCGACGACATTTATTAAAATATGCATGTAAAAATTGTATTTCATACTAAAGTAATCCATATTTCTTTTGAGTAGTAGTTTTAGAAACGCCAAAATGTGATTGTCAAGCCGTGAAACCTGGTTTTCCGAATAATCGTGTCCGTTGAGACTATTGTGAAGTGGGTGTGAATGAGCAAACTATTCTTTGACATGACTTGTTGGTGACCGTGAAAGGTTTAAATACTTCCTCTACCCTCAGTTTACCTTTCGAAAATTCTGAATCAACAGCTTTTAGGGGGAAAAAAAATCGCAGTAATTCACTTCCGCATTGCATTGACAAAATTACTTCGTCAATAATCGGAAAACCTTGTCTGTACGACAGCATTTTGATTGGTTAACTAAAGACGTGACCTGTTAGGTCAAACGAAGTTGCTCAGGTCAAATCATGAGAGTTTGCATACGATCGAAAACATTCCACAACAAAGATCTTACCTTCAACTGTTTTCCCACAGCCCTTACCCATTTTTCACTGTAAATTCAAATGGTATGTAAATCGTATTGTAATAAAATGCGTCTATTTTCATGAACATGTTTGTACATGTTCAGGGCTCCTGGGCTTATACTCGGGTAAGTACGGTAAGTATCACTTTCGATAGTGAAAAATTTTTGTTTAGCATTCACTTACATTAGGTTTGACTACAAGAGATACTGTCAAATACTTTATTTTCGCTTAGAATTAATTGTCGCTATTTTTGCTGCAGGAATAATTTAGTGTAAATAATATACAGTAAATATAACTTTTTTTCTAACATTTTATATTTGACTCGCCAAAAATCAGTGAAAATAAATTCCATACATTACAAACAACACCCACAATGTTTTCAGCGAAAATTATTTCCAGCTAAATTAAAGTATTTTACAGTACCCTAATCTGTAGCAGCTAGTGAGATTGAACTGATAGAACACAACATTGAAATTGATCTCTTTACGAACCTGTAAACCCCCACAACCACAGCGTGGTCTCTTTCATATGGCTCTAACGTTAACTGTTCTTGTGGTTTTAATCTTTCTGACTGCAATTTTTTTACTTCTCCGGCAAACACTGCTTCTGGTGCCGCTGTTGAGTCTATGCAATTAGCCTGCAATAAGAAACCAATGAACATTACACATGACATCAAATAACTATACACAAAAATCAACTTTACTCACTTTTAACAATATTAATTTATTTAATCCAAAATTATAGTAAAACATAAAAATGCCTACTATTTTGTCAGTCAAAAGTTCAAGGGTAAAGGCACTCAACACAAGAACGATCATTGTGATTATTACCAAATGTTATCTAAGGTGATTTTTTCGTCTGAGGTGAACAAGTTGCGAAGCTCATCATTAAATCTTTTACTCACTTTGATTGAAATCACAAAATGGCCTTCATTTTTCAAGAAATTATGCGCATTGATGGCAACTATTCTGGCTTGGTCTGGCTGTGCTACGTCGGCAAATATCGTGTCCACCATACCTGCAATTATATAAGTATAAAATTTACAAAATCAGAGCTGTACTGTGGAAACCAATTGTTGGATCATCATTTGGAATTGAGTAAAAACTTGTTGTATCTAGTAATTGTAGTGTTTATGTATTTATAATGAGAATACTGCAAAGTATGCACTCAGGTAGTGCGGAGACACATCAACATCTTCATTGTGGTTTGTACATGATTTACTGGCAGTGCAAAGTTTGCGAGAAGTACACACTATAATGCTTCTGTGTTTGACGTAAATAAAAAAATGTGTTGATTGTAACATCAATAATCCGTCGACGACACATGGTCAATACAAACTTTACTTGACTGCAAAATACCCTGGTTGTTGCTATCCTAAACCATGTATCAAATTTGGGTTAATGGCATCTAATAAACTTAATTTGTAATAATAATTTGTATGTTTGTTCCACTAGCAGTGTTTTAGTGAACCCGTGCTGAACACAGGCTGCCATTCCATGATGCCTACTGGAAGCCCTATTGAAGAGTTACAATAAAGACTATGTGAACGTCTCTCCTGGTTACCATGACATCAAACTGCTGACTCACCTACAAGCATTCTGTATTTGTGTGGATGTCTGGCATCTTCGATGATAGGAATAATATTGGTTCGTTTTTTGGCAACATTTAACAAATCACGTCCTGATCTGTGCGAGAACTCAACGGCATAAACAATGCCATCCTGCAACAACGTAAAATCACAAATTATTAATAAATAAAATTATTTCCTTGTTCTCAATTATCCCAATTTTGCTATGGCCGATTTGCATATTAATTTGCATACTAATTAGCATATTTCTTCATAGCTACTAGTAATCCATAAATTTCATGTTTGTACATTGCCACTTTTTTATGATGAAAATGAGTTTAATTGTATTAATGAAATTATTCACGATAAAAAATAGTTCTATGAGTTGGTGCATTACCATATTTTCTCTATTAGCAGCATGTCTCAAATACATGTAGAAACACACACAGAAATCATATAGTATACTGGATTATTATAATGAGGTTATTATGAGGATACTGCAAAGTATGCATGAAGACAGTACAACGCGAGTATCGACCGATGCGCAGTGGAGGTCAATGCGACTGCGTACTGTCTTCATCCATAGTTTGAGGTATCCTCGTAATAACTTTATGATTATACATCTTTTCCTTCCAAGGATACATCATGGGAATGTTGAAATCCTAAATGTTTAGAACAGAATCAGCGAACTTCTTTGTGTGGAGTCCAGTCAAACACTGCTTGTTTTTTATTATTCAAGGACGCTTATGTGCATAATTGTTCCATATTTGGAATTCGCATTTCCTAATAAGGTAGGATGAAAATACCCAGTGCAACACCAGAAAATTACAGTAGGCTATAACTTATGGCGTTACGCTGACAGATGTATAATAATACAAATTAATTTCACCATAAAGACACATTATTTACATTACTATATACACTACTAATAGAAAAAATAAAGTATCTCACTAGAACATGACCTGAAAATGAAATGCATACAAGTTTTGTACAGTCAAACTGTTCATGTGCCAGTGTTAGCACGGTTATACACAATCACTACAACATGCACTAAGCTGGCAACACCATGTTTTGGGAAAAATCAAAATAGATCTCTTTCACATTCAGTACTTAATTAAAACACCATTGCTTAGATATTATGGCCATGTTGAAAGTTCCCCCATTGCAACAACATGTACGCATCAATGTAATAAGTTCTTGTGGCATCACAAAGTTATAACTTACCGGCCCCACGATATCTGAGACATGAGAAACTGTTGTACCCGACGCTGCACCTAAGTACAACACCTTGGATCCCGGTGTGATATGAGTTTTATCTACACCACCCAGTATAGCAGCTGCCAGTTTAGATCTGAATGGATTCCATGCTCTGTACTCCAACTTATCTCCATCAGCCTAGGGGGTCAAATGAAACAACCACTATTGTTGCAAGTCAGCACATTTTGACAAACAATTCATGAATATCTTGAGATCGCACATTGAATTGATCTCATAAATAGGACAAACAAAAATCATAACGATGTGGTGACATCAAAACATCACATGAAGTTCAACAAATGCAAAAACATTCTCATGTTTAATAACATGGCATATTAATTTGATGATCATCAATTTCGATGAAGTAATGGTATCTCAATGTCATATTTTCCTTTCAAAAATTGGCATTTCAACAATAAAATATAAAAAAATTACACTTCAAAGTCAAATTACTTGATATTTGCAGCAGAGGATCAGTCCTTGCCATTTATATACTAAAATCTTCTATTCAAGACAAGTTTAAGCGAAAAACTCAATACACAATTACAAAACTCACCTCAACTGATATCCTCTTTTCACCATACACCGAATCCCCTTGCACCATGTTTTTCGTGACTAACGCATCTTCCTTCCCCCTCGCTATGAAGACGCCTGGGTGACAACAAAAAGCGATTCAGTATTAGTAAGAATGAGTACACACAAACAGCAAATAATTTTGCAAGATACAAATTTTCCAGAATTTTACAATTCAACAGAAATTGGAATAATTGTATTTATATTTTTTTTTTCATCCCCTTTGCCTATTGCCAACCAAGGGTCATTTATGCGGTCATTATTATACCTTGGCAGAATTTTCCACTATAAACCTATATTCTCTGCCAAACAATCAAACAATGGTGGTAATTTGAACATGGAGTCGCTTTTTTTGTGAAATGTTTCCATGGAAAATCAAACATAAAGTTGCATGTTTTTGGCAGTTAGGCTATGACGTGATATAAGACGATAAAATCATAAATGGATGCAATGGAACGCTGATTGGTAAATCCAACTCTTTGGGGCTCAATCAGATCATTCAATTTTAACTCAAGTCAAATACAGCTTTTCCCAACATGATAACCATGTGAATTTGTGGGGTTATTGGTGTGCCTTTTAGAAAATAGAAGCATAAAATGACTGTCTTAACCTTTTCACCACCAGTACTCTCTTTTCATCACAAATTCAGAAAATAGTCTTAATTTATAGTCTGCACTTTTATTCAGAAGATTGGCACAAAAATAGCCAAATTTTTTGAGGAAAAACTGAAAATACGACTCAAGTTGGCTCCAAAATTAGGGTTTATTTCCAGAAAAATTGAAGAATATAAGAAAAAGATTTGGGCATTAAAGTCCGGCAGTGAAAACGTTACACACACTAATGTAAGTTGTGTTATGATTTGATAAGAATCAACTCAAAAACCAAAACAGGAAACTCACCTTCAATTCTATGTGGCTCAATTGTCACTTGTTTACCACCAGCCATACCTAAGGTGAAGAAAAAACTTGTTTATTGAAAGTTACAGGCATGACGTGAACTTTTAAACTCACTTTCCAAAAATCTATAATGCCTGTTACTATTCTGTTGTTTGAACGGCAATTTTACTTGTCGTACTGTGGGACTACTCGTAGTGTCTAAACCCTGAATTGAACACATCAACCAATAGAGTAACTTGATATCACGCTATGTTTATCAAAGATTCATTTTTCTAAGTGTACTCGGCACATTTAAAGCACCAAACGAACTGAATTTTACCACACGCGAATACTGTCAAAATTTACTCTGGACCACGTGACTTATATTATCTAACATACCGTACTTCCCTGAGTATAAGCCCCTCCCTGAGTATAAGCCCACCCCTCTGTTTTTAGACATTTAACAAGTTGAGGGCATCCTCGAGTATAGGCCCAGGGGGTTTTTACTGGGCATCGACGACATTTATTACAAGTCATTGTCAATGACACGTCCCCGTTCCGTTCATATTTAAGTGACATATACATTCAAAGCAGATCATGACCGAAATGCACCTGCATATGTACAAACACATTGTGCTAAATCTGAACAAAATCCATCCATGCATGACTGAGATCCGGTTCTGGAATTGTGAAAATACGTGATTTTGATGCATTTTCGGCCTTAAAATGGCCATCATTTCGCTATTGTTAAGCAGATCATGAAACAAAGGCACATATCTATTTGTGACATGATGTACCATGTGTGTGTGAAGTTTGACTTGATCA